AAAGAGCAACTGCTTGAGTACTGTCCCATGGGCTTTGCAAAGATCGTGTTCTTGTTCTACTATGAATTCACTTGAACTGAGCAAACAAATTAGCAGGATGATACAGTACCTCCAAAGAAACTGCTAGCACCTCTGCGATGAGTATTTGACTTGTGATTAAGCTGTCACTCACTGTCTATCTCTATTGAAACCATAGCTTGTTTTAGTCTAGTTTCAATCCAGAATGCAGTCCAGATGTCCTATTCAGACCCTTCACAAAGCTGGGAGAAATTCAGCATGAGAGACCTAAATAGCAAGTAACAGACTTAATGTAAAAATACTATATTTTTTATTTAGTTTCTTTTCTTTTTATGGGAGCTCACATTATAGCAAATAATAAAAGCTTCCCATGAAATTATTTCTGATGCTAAGAGAGTAGCTTTAAAGCAGGTGCTTAACAGGAAGGTATGATTGATAAGAATTGTTGTCATTGTCACTGGTAAAAATTGCAATGACACATTGTGAGAAATGCCACCTTTAAAGAGGAAATGATGTATAAATTTACCTCGTTCTCTTACCATCTACCCTCCCACCCCCAAAATTTTTTAAAAAATGCAGGTACCTGGAGAAAAAACGCCTCCTATTTCCACGATTCTTCTTTGTGTCAGATCCTGCTCTCTTAGAAATTCTTGGCCAGGCATCAGACTCTCACAATATACAGGCACATCTGCTGAATGTTTTTGACAACATTAAAACTGTGAGGTTCCATGAAAAGGTATGTACACTATGACATCCTTTCAAAGCAGCAGTGCATGATACTTGTTAAATTAAAAAGCTACCTGGGATCATGGGGCATTCAGCTGTTTTACCAAGCTCATCAACTATTTGATGCTTTGATGCTGTGTAGGCTCTCTTCATTTACGATTTACTTTCATACTGTCATTTAAATAATAGGAGAACTCTACGTAAAATAGCAAACTAAACATAAATTTACAACAGTACTTTAGGTTAAAGAAAAAACCAGCCACGTACTGAAGTGTCTTCTGTGGCTTAGTACAGGCTACAATACTCTCAGGTAATCTTCCAATTCTTCTATGAGCTTACTTTTATCTTTAGATTGCCTGTATTTGTGCTTTTTAATTAATTTTTTTTCATTATAAGAAAAAGTATGGCTAGTCTTTGCCCTGTTTCTGAATTATCCTTAATATCCCTTCAAACGCAGTGTTTGAAGAACAATATTCTTATACCCTTTACAAGAACAGACAGCAACAAAAAAGTTTTTTTTCCCATGTATGTATACATTTGCTTAGAAATTCGCTACCTCCCTATGAGTTTGAAATTTATTCGATTGACCATTTTCCTCAACTTTTGTGTTTCTGTTAGTTTTGATTGTAAGGCTGTAAATTCTGCTGGGACATTAACCCACCAGTAGTGGGGGAAAGTTTGCTGTATTGTGACAGGAAAGTAAATATTGTCATTGAAACTTAAGTGAAATTCAGGAACTGTCAGTATATTATCAGGTGTATATATAGGAGTTTGTCTCCTTGTGCAGATGACTGTCTTGTTTAAAACACATGAAAAGTAGTGATTTAATTGTTTTTGCATTTCACTTAACAGGTTGATATAATTTATTATTTACTTACATCAGTTTAATGGAGTGATGGCAGGAAAATCAGACAGTGATGGTAGGAAAATCAGACAGTGATGGTAAAGATAAATCTGTAAACACAATGTTTTTGCTTTGTTTTTATTAGATATATGATTGTATATTGTCAATCAGTTCACGAGAGGGTGAGGCTGTAGAGCTGACTAGACCTGTAATGGCCGAAGGTAATGTGGAAGTTTGGCTCAATTCTCTGTTGAAGGAATCCCAGCTGTCACTGCATCACGTTATTCGCCAGGCAGCGGCACACATCCAGGAAACTAGTTTCCAGCTGACTGAATTTCTTTCTACTTATCCAGCCCAGGTAATACCAGTGTTAAATCAATGAAGAATTGTACACAGATGTGTAGCACTTTGTTTTTTCCTTCTTGTGTTTGCAGTCAAAATGGTAGCCAGTGTCTTAAATCCAAACCTGACATTTAAATTTCTCTTAATCGCCTCAGTCTTTTAAGTTGTGCTTAACATATATCAAACCAAAAGAAGAAAAATTCCCCTTAAGCTGTTGTTCAAAAATGATACTGAATGCAACAGACCTAACACTATTTCTTTACAAGCTTAATACTTGCCTACTGAAGGAAAAGTAGTAAAATTGTATGTTTGTTTATCTATTCAGGAAAAAAACTATATATCGCTAAAGATTTGGAGCTGAGAGTAGTCTTGAGGGAAAATTACTTTCTAAGTAGATGGTTCTTCACTTACAATCAGGAATTTTGTTGGAGAAGGAATGAAGAGTTTGTGAATAATTGAAAAATATTTTAAATTGAAGCATTAATTAGTCATTGATTAGTTATTATAGATGAAGTATATATAGTATTTGTATATATACTGTAAATGACATTGAATAGTTGTTAGCAGTGCACTGTGCACAGTATCTACAAGACTGAAGTGTGGACTTAAGTATGTGTTTATGAATGGACACACAAAACAAATGCATGGTTGAATGACCCCTAAACGGATGCATGAAAAAATAATTTTAATGCAAATATTAATTGAGCTATTTCTTTAGTTTGTCATATACTTTTTTGTTTCCTAAGGTTGGGTTGTTGGGAATCCAAATGATTTGGACAAGGGACTCAGAAGAAGCTTTGGCTAACGCCAGGTATGATAAAAAAATTATGCAAAAGACAAACCAGTTTTTCCTGGATCTTCTAAACACGCTGATAGATATGACAACAAAAGACCTTAGCCCAGTCGAGCGAGTTAAATATGAGACATTAATCACTATTCATGTGCATCAGCGGGACATTTTTGATGGTCTGGTAAGTATTGAAAAATTTGCCATGAGTTTTGTGGTGGTTTCCGTGTAAAGCAATGTGAAAGGACAAGAAGAAAATATTACTATACCTATGAACTCCTGCCTCTTAAGCTGAACATTTTATTTCAGGACTCTTAATGATTATGTGACCTGGACTATTATAAAAATGCTGGTGTTGATTCAATTCGTGTCTTAGTTTCCTTTTAAGTAATTCAGTGTTTTCCCCCTGGCCCTGCCAAGTAATAGCAAACTTTTAAAAACTTTTATGTGGGCCCATCTAAGTTAGATGCCTCTGTCATGTGATCAGTTAGCTTTTTCCTTATATACTGTGTTACAAGCAGTTGTCCTTTCTCTGGACTACACTGCAAGTTTTGAGGAGTAGCTAGAATGAATGTAGAGTTATAGCTAAGGAAAAATTTAGAAGTTGGTTGAAGCTGTTACCTTCTCTGTTCTAGTTTGGATAGCATACCTAATTATTTATTAGGGATTTATTTATTCATTTCGTACCTTCTCATGTAGCCATGTGATAGTTAAATTAGGAAAATGAAAGCATTTACTGCTTAAACAGTCAAACTAAAAAGCTCGCATACTCTTTTACATGTAGGAACCTCTGGATCTGACTCTGAAATTAAGATGTCTGAGAAAAGAATTACTGTGTTTTAACACATTGCTGATAATCAGGCACCTTTCTTTTCATTGTAGATCCAATTTTTTTTAGTTATAATAATTTTATGTAAAGTATAAATTTTAGATAGAACCTGCAGGATGCCTTTTTTTTAAAAAAAATCCTGGTTTTATATCTATTTGGTCAACTTTGAATTACTCCCAACTCTGTTGAATTTCTTAACTAATATCTGCACCATGGTACTGTCTTGAAAAACCTTTTTTTTTCAATTGCACATGTTTTCTTACAATTCTCGAGTTTCTTAAAAATCAAGTATTGCATTGTGCTTCCTACTCATATGTAAAAATAAAATGGTAGAAAGGAGTAAAAGAAATGGAAGTTTTAATATTAACTGAACTTTATGACTTTTGTTTGAGATAGGGTCTCCACTATTCTTGTGTTACTGGCTGTTCTTTATGCCTTTCAGTGGCAGTGCTGCCTTTATGGTACTACTTAGATGAGGTAATATAAATGCAAAAGTAATTGTTAACCATGAATACCACAGCCTTTTTTCCCCTCCTTTCTTAGTGCTGCATGCATATCAAGAGCTCTACAGATTTCGAGTGGCTGAAACAGTGTAGATTTTATTTTAATGAAGACTCCGATAAAATGATGATTAAGATCACTGATGTGAGTTTCACATACCAGAATGAATTCTTGGGCTGTACTGACAGGCTTGTCATAACGCCTCTTACAGACAGGTGAAAAAGACTGATTTTATTCCTTTATTCTTTGACATCTAAACTAGACTTGTACAAGAGCATTTTAGTCGTTCCTATTGGATGTAAAATAGATCTCTGCAGAGTTTATTCTTCACAATCATATCAAAGTCAATAATTTTACATGGAATACATGAATATTTTTGTTTCTATGACTTACAATATTAATAACTTTCTGCTTAATTTTGGCTACATAGTTGCATGGTCCCCACATATGTGATGAAGGGGACTGGTTGTCATGTATATGAGGCTAATATACCTAAGGAGCAGGTACATTCAACAGTTACAATATACAGAGAGAGATACAGGACAAAAAATAAGTGTTTACGTGCAGGCTGATGAAAACAGCTAAGGAAAAACAGAGAGACAAAACAATTCTATTCAACTGCAATAGATTGGAGATCTTTGATCTAGAAGGTTGTTGAAGGAATTGCAGCTGTACTAACGGAGAGGTCTACCTTACCTAACTGGAATAAAACAAAGAATGCTGTAACTGGCAAAATAAGAGCATTGCTGTCATTTTTTTTTTTTTTTCTTTAATATTCCATATGTCAAATTCTAGATCTTTTCTTTAGATTTAGTTGTTAGCTGGTGTTTTACTGCATTACACACAGAAGCTTTATTTACAAAAAGGAGATGCACTGTATGATGAAGTGTCAAAGGTGGATGAGAAGGGAAAGGTTAGCTGTCTTTCATTATTGTACTCCACAGTATCATGTAGTTCAGAACTGCTTCAATTAAAGTAATTTAGGAACTAAGTTAACCAAACTAGAACAGGCAGCATCTCTGTATCTGCTTTCTTCCTGGGGTTATCCCTGGGGTAGCTTGGTTCATT